GTAGAATTTACCGTAGCTCAGCTGAGATACCGATAGAGATGTGGGTATTTGACGCTTAGTCAGGGACTGCAAATTCGTAATGAAATCCTTTTGTAGCATTAACGCATATGAGTTGATGTAGTCTTTTAATTTAGTAATTCATTATCAACACTTAAGCCAAGTGCGAATTTATTTCACCTATTTCCTTTGGTTTTTGAGGATTTCAGTAGAAATCTAGTCTCTTTAATATTCCCATAATTTCTTCAGAACAAAAGTAGTTAGAGCGAATAATTGTTTTCAATAAATTCTTCTACAGGATCTGCAGTTATCAATCCATTAATTTTAGCTTACAATAGTCAGTAAAGGCAAATTAGAATCATATCAGAAAGTGTATTGTGGAACAAGTATAAGATGTGATGGAAGAATAGTCAGTTAGCTTTGAATATGCATGGTCAATGAGAACACGAGATGAAATAATTTAATCGTATATAATGATAATATGTGCATATATAAATATAGTTAACAAAAGTACAGGTTTCGAGGGTGAGTGTCATCAGTAGTGTGTGAGACGATATGAATATTATTGAAAATAAACCCACCAATGGGGTGGACTATAGGTGAGACAACATTTCCTGCAGCTAAATTATCACTCGGCTTTTCGATTAAACCAGTGCTCACACAACTAGTCAAGGATAAATTATGGAAGGTGGCCTCATCAGTGTGTATCTATGATTTCAACTGCTCATGTGGAGCTAGTTACATTGGCAGTACTCAGAGGGCTTTGTCCATGAGCGCACGTGAACATGTACCTGTATGATTTAGTCCACTTGGTAGATACTGGACACTCTATAAAACCTGAGCAGGCGTTCTCAGTCATTTATGGCGTTCCTGCTAATCTATCTAGAGGAGCTCGACTACGTCTTCCAGCAGTACCTAAAGCGGTAGCAATCAATACCAGAAGATCAGCTCTTTGTATACCGAAGTATGTTCAACCGCTATGTTTACCTTGGCCTACAATAAGTCCAACAAATCCTATGTAAACATTAGCCCTTTAAATTCTTATCGCAATTTTCCTTTTCTTCTTCTTTTCCTTTGTTTTATTGACAAACGTTCATTTCTGACCTTTTACGACTTCATGAATTTTTCTTTTGATTTCTATTACCTTAAGTTTAAGTAATGCTTTTCTGATTAAGAATTCCCATTAAAATTTTTTCAAAAGAAAGGTTACTGAACAAAGAATATTCTAACTTCTTATAATATTTACAAAATCCCATTCCTTTCATTTCCCTAAATTCATTATTATAATTATTATTTGATAATCATTCACCAATAGTACTTTTAAGTTTACACCACATCATCGTTATTATTTCACAATCATTATCAGTGTCGTTATTTTCACCCTTGAACTTACGTCTAGTTCACCCCATTCATAGGTTTATTTTCAATAGTATTCATATCTTTTACGAGTTGATCACGGACTGATATCAGTTAGAGAACCATTGAAAACCAGGGAGTACTGGACAGCTGCTGTTTCATCCCAGTTTGGGAATCATCGGCAGTACGCAACTCACAAACCAAACTATAGAAAATTAATCTGATGCTCGCTAGTGACTTGCTACAGGTTGGAGCTTCCTGGAGTTCTAGTGAGAAGTCGTGACCAGTTAGGTCCAATTAGAAGTCACGTGTGTGGATGGATGTCCCACCAACGACAATAGTTGGGGTTGCGCTAAAATCACGAATTGGTAGAAGTTAGAATTCATGAGCAGGCCATTGAATTGGGTCCCAGTGGCTGAATGGTATACGAGCTTGCTAGCTTGTAACTGGAAGGTCCTGGGTTCGAACCCTGGCAGTGGCTGCGTACTGCCGATGATTCCCAAACTAGGATGAAACAGCAGCTGTCCAGTACTCCCTGGTTTTCAATGGTTCTCTAACTGATATCAGTCCGTGATCAACTCGTAAAACATAACTAATCCTCACAAACCAAACTATAGAAAAGTATTCATATCGTCTCACACACTACTGATTATACTCACCCTCGAAACATGTATTTTTGTTTACTATATTTATATATGGATGTATACACACATCATTAAATTATTTCATCTCATTTTTCTCATCGACCATGCATATTCAAAAGCTAACTGAGTATCGTTCCATTGCATCTTATACTTGTCCCACAATACACTTTCTGATACGATTGTAATTTACCTTTAATGACTATCGTAAGCTTAAATTAATGGATTTATAATTGTAGAGATTGAAGGAGAATTTATTGGAAACAATTGTTTGTTCTGAAGAAATATAGTTGTCGTAATGGAATCAGGTCCCAGTGGCTCAATGGTATACGAGCTTACCTTATAACCAGAAGGTCGTGAGTTCGAACCCCGCTGGTGGGTGCGTACTGCTGAAGAGTCCCAAACCAGGACGTAACAGCTGTCCAGTACTCCCTGGTTTTCCAGTGGTTGTCTAACTGATGTCAGCTCATGATGAAATCCTCCATCCAATCAAACAAAATCCCTACAAAAAACCAATACGTATTATAACTTTAGGACATCGGCCATAACTTATTTTATAGCAATTGGCGAATTTACATATATTCGACTAAAAATCAGCACTTTCCTATTTCCTTGGTCTGTTGTTTTCTCTATTTGTTCATTGTCAAAACTCACTCAGGCTATACTACTGCCTGAAATCATTTTTCTCTGGTCTGCTGCTATGCTATAATTGTTATACCTGGATAAGTAAGTAAGCGGTTTAGTATGTATCTAAATAAGTGAAATTCCAATCTCCAAACGATGATACTAAGGTAGGTAATGAATCAATAATCAGAGACTTTCTAGTTTACATATATGACTGAAAGTCTAACTTGTTATCTATTGTTGTTGTTGTTTTTTTCACTTTTTTCGTTTTACTTCAGTGAACTAAAGTCTACTGTCTCTTGAATAGTTGAACTGGTAAAAATTACTTAATATCTATATGTATGTATGTATATATGTTGACGTAGTATGTATCTGACATTGGTAAAAGTTCAAAACTCACAGTTACTCTACTGACCTTTTTTTCATTAACTCTTAAAACTTTATTACCAAAACTTCAACCAAATACAAGGATGAATAAGTAAAATATTATAGATAAAATAACAACTACTGGGTTAGAAATTAAAATCGTTAATATAAAAGGACAATTTGATCACATGGCCAAGTTGGTTTAACAGGAGAATAGATGATGAGTGATGTTTAGAATATGTGAATGTAACTGTGATAAAAAGTGGAAAAGATTTCTAATATTCATGTATATTTTCATGTAAATATTGGGTATTATTTTAATGACAGTTTAAATCCCTTTTTTATTGATAAACTTATTTATATTTCCTTGGCTCAATCGCATTTAACCAGCAAATTTTTCATATCATTTGTTAGCTATGGGGGGGGATTTGTAAGTGTTTCTTTAAATGAGTAGGCTGAATTTGACCTTAATTTGATCAAATGTACTTATAAACAAGGTGATTGGTCGAAATCAGATTACCCTACTTAGTATACTTTTACTTTAGAGTATTGAACTAATTATATATGTCCAAACCAAGTTCATTTTGAACAGTTTTAAAAAATTTGGGCATTGGGTATATGATATTCATTATAATAAAGGTTTTTGTATTTCCCAATGAATGAAAAACAAAACGATATTGTTTTTACTGACGTTTCGCTATTTAATGCTAATAGCTTTATCAAAGTGTTATTAAACCGGAATTTACAAAATCTCAGCATTAATTTTTATATTCTAACAGTTTGTGTTTGGTAAACTAACCTGATTAAACTGAAATACTATCAACTTATTCAGGAACTTCCAGTTGTTTAGGTGTGTGTGTGTGGAGGGGGGGATCTTGGTCTTGTTACGTTCTACATTTCATCTCAAATGTCCACAAACCATATTTGATTTTCTATGGTTGACGTAAACAGATTATATCCTTTTGTAGTCGATCAGCTGTAGGTTAGTCCAGTGATCACTTCTGCTTCAATGTCTCTTAGCTGGTGATCATGTTCAGTTAATATTAGGCATGACAGTTAAAAAACAGCGTTAATATGGGTCCCTTTAACACTCGACTATAAGTTAGTGAATCTCTTCTTCAACCTGAATCACTAAATAGTATTATCATTCCTTACATAAAACTGTGACTTAAAGTCTGGAAAACAAAAAATCTGTTCAGCGTAACTGAATGCCTCCAATCAAACAATCAGCGCGTTGATATTCTCCACATTGAAATGTTTTTTTCGTTGTTTTGGTTGAATTTATTCTGATACATAATTCATAACCTTGACCTTCTTGAATCAGAAAATCACATTCTAATAAAATAAGTAAATGTGAACCGACAGTGTCGGTTACAGTTCATTCTCAAGAGTTGGTTTGTAAGGATTAAATTTATTTCCACGAGTTTGACCACGGATTGATATCAGTTAGAGAACCATTGAAAACCAGCTGGAACTATTGGACAGCTGTTTCACCCTAGTTTGGGAATCATCGGCAGTACGCACCCAATGAGGTTTGAACCCAGAATCTTCCAGTTGCAAGGCAAGCTCGTAGACTATTCAGTCACTGGGACCCGATTCAATGGCCAGTGAATGAATTCTAACTTCTACCAATTCGTGATTTTAGCGCGATCGGGTGGCAGTGACTGAATGGTATACCAGCTTGCCTTGTAACCGGAAGGTCCTGGGTTCGAACCGTGGCAGTGGCTGCGTACTGCCGATGATTCCCAAACTAGGCTGATGAAACAGCTGTCCAGTACTCCCTGGTTTTCAGTGGTTCTCTGACTGATACCAATCCGTGGTCAAACTCGTGAAAACGGTTCATTCTGTTTTCGTTTAGATTGCTTTTTAGCAGAATATGCTATGTCACCAAAGTTGTGTGCCATTAGAAGAAGACATCTCCGAAAGGTAATCCTAGGAATAAAGCAGTAATATATATATATATTCTTTGACTTACTTGATCCATTTAATATTGATTTGTATCTTTTTAATTTCTAGGGACGGATTTTCAGAGCTCCATTTGCTCAAGTGTCATTCGCAGATTTCTGGCTTGCAGATCAATTAAATAGTTTGAATTTTATATTTCCAGATATAGCCTATTTTATTTGCTTTTATTCATCCCAAATTGACTGGGCCAATGGTATGAATTATATACCACCGGTTGCATTGTCATCACCATCATCATTATCAACTTCACTGGTCATAGCGCCTACTAGTGGACATTCTAATTCTACAAGTTTAACTCTTCCTACCTGTGCTTTCAATTCAGATAAAATTATAGGTGAGTTTTGGTAGAGTTGATCTCTTATTTACATTTTATAAATTTTCTTTTTTGGGGGAATATATATCTCTACAAACAGCCACTGTTAATTAATACATCTGTTGAAATTAATTCACACGATATCATTATAATATCAATCGACTGTTTATAATTCAGATAGTGGGTTTCAGGGAACTGACTGTAGATTTTTCACGCAAGGATATCCCTTGGAGAAACGCCTAACGGCTCTTTTGCTGTAGTTTGGGTCTCTTCAGCAGTGAGTACTCAAGATACTTCTAAGTGTTCTAGCGGTGTTCCAAGGTTCTAATTATGTAGAACTATGAAGTGAATTAGTCTATGGTGAATAGTAGTAGAATCCAGGATGCGCATTTCGTCCTGTTTCGGACTCACCAACTGGATGTACCTGCATTCTTGAGACCGAGCACTTCGTTCCACTCCATAGACTAGGAAAATCTGAAACTGAATTAAGCATGTAGAAAAATGTTGTAAGGCCTTCGGAGGGAATGTTATTTTCTATAGTAATGTATCCTATTCAAATGAATACATATAACGATCTTATCTTCAATCAGTACATAGGTCTATGTTTCCACTTAAGGCTGAAATTTATATATTCAGGTAGAACTCCATATACAGAAGCAACAATCCTCATTTTCCAACATCTTTATGAATGACTATACCTGGTAAAATAATTATATACAATACACATATTGTAAATACTATTAGAATTAACATTTTTTTAAAAACATTTTGAATAGTGTTCAGCATTGGTTTCCTCAAACATTCATCATTTAGTACAGATTTTGTTGTTCATTTTAGTCAACTTACTAATTAATTTCAAATGATTAACTTCCTAATTTCTTAATGTCAAAAAAAATATTGTGATAATAATGAAAAACACAAAACAAAACCACTTTATTATGTAGCGAAAGCCGCAATTTACATGTATCTATACATTTTTTCAAAGTGTTTTGATTCAAATCCAATAGTGAGTCTTTATTCATAAACAATAGTTGATTAAAGTGTTTGCAGTAGGAATGTTTAGTTTTTAAACTGGTTCACTGATCTCTATACAAGTGTATTAAAATGACAGGAAATACACGTTATCTAAGTCACTCTTAGAGTTATATTTGTGCCGACCCTCTATCTCTCTCTCTGTCTCTAAAGCGATCATTTTAATTCAGTTAGTTATTCAAAACTTACCTATACTGGTTTCGACTTTTCTCCAGCTCATTCATTCCTACTTAAAAGACATTAATTCTGTATTGTGTCTATTCCCCATATCATCATTTGGTACTATCTTTAGGATTATTGTAATCATTTTTTTTAATAAAATGTTAATCTCCTAGTCAATTCTGCTGTCATTCATTGTTTTTTTTCTAGACACGAATTCCATTTCGGCGATACCATCTCCTTTCTGTAGAAAGAATGCAACCAAACATTAGATTTTGTAGGGATATGAACTATCTTCAGTGTAGATGTTATCCCTATACCACGAAATGACAGAATCTAGATTTCACGAGTTCCTGAATTCCAATTACCTAGTGGTTGAATAGTCAATGGGTTGGCCTTGTAAAGTGAAGGTCCTGAGTTCATTTTCTAGTGGGATCATGAGAAACAATCGCAAATCATAAATTAACTCCTGTCTAATACTCCTTCGTTTTCAATGATTACCTAGTCGATACTAGTTTGTGTGGAAATACACTTTGAAAGAATTAAAATTGCACGACTTCAAAACTTGATACTTAATAATCACCCTGATAAATTAATCAGGAAGAGTGTAAAAAAATGTTAAAATAAAATAAATAATAATAGTAGGGATAGTGATAACAGTAATAATAATATTAATGATGACATACATGTCAAACATGCACAGGATAATGACAACACCAACAATCGGGAATATAAATCATCAGTAGTACTTTCATACAAAGAAGGAACCTCGGAAACCTTAGTGAGAATTCTTAACAATGCAGGAATAAAAGTGACTGGCATTCAAACCCAACCCTGCCTGCGATGATTGTCAGGTGAAATACAAAGGTCAAAGTAGTAGAACAGGGTCAATCAGAGTAGAGGAGCACAAAAACCTAACAAAATCTAGATTGGTTGACCCGAATAAGATAAGAAATCTGGAGAATAGTTCAGCTATACCACCCACTACATTCAATCACACACAACCATACAGTAGTGAGAGATAAAATGACATTTTTAAAATCTAATATAACAGCAGGGTGGAGGGAGAGATTGATAACGGAAGCTTTGTTTATCGAGTTAGCTGCAAACACGTGTAATAGGAATGATTCAACATTTGTCCCAGATATCTGGGAAGTTCTACTACCCTTACGACGACAAATAGGAAAACAAAAGAAAACTATAAAACTCAAGTTTCGAAGTTGTGTGATTATAATTGATATGATTATGAACAGTAAGTTGTTTGTGAAACGTCGTCTAGTGAATAATAATACTGTTTCACTGGGTGTGATATATCTAACACACAAATTAATATGGTATTACATACATAATACCACAGTGCCCAAATCGTACACGTATATTACATTGAAAGAAATTATTTTATTTTTTAGAACTAGGACATTCTATTTTGAAATAATTATTGCTTTCCTGTTTGAATTATTCAGAAATAGTTTCACACTAACATTTTTATAGGTTATGCATAAAATACGATATATGTATATATATAAGCTTTGAGTTGATATTTAATTTGAATAAGATCTACCAACTAAGGCTGCAGGATAAACTGAACTATATAAACACAATACACATATAAAACATATCGTCATCTATCAAGCATTTTCTGCTTGATAATAAGGTTACAGGTTTTAATCATGAGCTGACATCAATAAGTGAATCAGAAATATTGATTTCCTGATACTAATTTAAAACAAGCAAGAAAGGGGAATAAATTGGGATTTAATGAATCCATCATATTTCGGTAGGACCCTTCAGCTGGATACTCTACATAATACAGTCCAGAGTCTTATATCTTGCAGTGCAATTCTAATGGTATATATGTATCCCTGTATGTAGAGTATTCAGCTGGAGTTCTGCCGAAATTTGATGAATTCATTAAATTCTACTTTATTTGCCTTTATTGCTTGTTTTAATTTGAAGAATTACTGAACAGCTGTTTCGTCCTATTTCGGAACTCTTCATCAGTACGCATCCACGAGGGTTCGAACGCAGGGCTTTTAGGGTTCGTAACCCATTCAACCACTGGGATTAGATCCAATGGTCCATGAGTTCCAAATTCTATCATATCATGATACACATTAGAAAACATTTTTTCAACTAATGTATTTAGTGATTTTTGTTCATTTGTTTATTTTAAAAAAAATAAGGCAACTATAGAAATTCATTTTTACTTTGGTATTATGAATTTCGACCAATGTGACAATTCAGAATCTCATCAGTTGTACACAAATCATGTGATAAAAGTATTATAATGTGACTGTAGGTGGTTGAAACAATCTCACTGATTTTCTTTTTGAGCATCTTAGGCTATAACCTTAAAGAAGAAGAAGAAGAACAGTAGTTACTTAAATATTGCTCCGCCTATTAATTTTCCATTTAAAGTCTCCTTCTTATAGTAAAACTTCAGCATTTTATTATTGTAGGAATTTCAGTAATTTAAAAACAGTAAAAAAATTGACTCATAGTAAACAGTTTAGTTTAAGATGGCGTGTTGGTTGATTTCACTGCAACCAAATAGGCTAGTTTTCTTTTAATTTTTTTTTCTGAAACAAAATTATTATGAAGTTTTTTTCTCTCATATGATTTAATTTACGTTAGTAGCAAAATGTTTTTCTTTTTTCTTTCTTTGGGTTCCGAGTGGAAAATACGGCCTTAAGCTGGAGCTTTGAAGTTTTAGTAGCTGTCACATTGTTTTTACGGGGGTAGAGGTTGCTAGCCTTATGCTCAACCTTCCTTCTATACGGGGTTTACTACCGGCTAAGCTAGTTTTAGGGGTACCTCGGCGGGGGATCGAACCCTGGACCAAGTTAGTGGTTAACGAGTATTCTACTGCAGCATCACCGACGCATAGCATATCACTGATATGACAAAAAATATAGATGACTAATCCAGTTAGGTATAAACACATTTTTTGTTTATGATAGTTTAGTTGGCACTTCGTTTCTTTACCTTTAGGTGTGATTCTGTGAGGTGTAACAACTTGAACTGCTACACTTTTGTGAAAAGTTTTGCATTCAAAATGTATTATTATTTCCTTTAATTCTTAGAGGAACATAGGGCTTCATCCACCCACGTCTCCATTGCGTTAGGTTCTCTGCTATAGTCTTCACGTGGCTCCGACTCTGCCCACACGTTTTCATCTCCTCTTCACATGGCCTCCTCCAAGTCACCCTTGAACGACCAACTCACCGCCTCTTTTTCGGGTTCCACTCGAGCAATGGCTTGTCTAATGATGTCACTTGATGGTTTCCTCAGAGTATGGCCAATCCATCTCGATTTCTTCCTGCTTATTTGTTGCACAATCGGTTCTTGGTTGGTTTGCTCGCAGAGATCCCTGTTGCTGATCTTTTCTGGCCATCTGATTTTGAGTATTGAGCGAAGACAACTGTTAATGAAGGTCTGTAGTTTGTTTGAGATGCTCTTTATGACGCGCCACATTTAAAATGTAGTTTAGTTAAAAGATGAATGATTGTACGGTATCTCTATATGATATTTCACTACTGAGAAGATATTTTTATTCCCTTACGTTCCTAGTGGAACATAGGGCTTCAAGCTAGAGCTTTTAAGTTTCGGTAGCAGTGGTTTTTATTTTTACGACATGAGGCTACTAGCCTGATGCTCAACCTTTCCTCTTTACAAGTCTTATTACTGGCTTATCAGCATAAAGGATGGCTTTGGCCGGCGATCGAGCCCCGAACCACATGAGGCGTGGGTGGCGAGCATTCTACCTCTGTGCCACCGACGCACACTGAGAAGATTAGGAAGTATTAATATTTTATTTGATGTGAACATAT